AATTTAAACAGATGATGCATTTCAAGAGAAATCAGAAAAAAGCACATTGTGCCTGTGATGGAGCGCTCTTACCAGTCAGAGGGCTCTTATTTACCTCTAGGAAGACCGGAGGGGCAGCAAGCAGGACTACGCGCCTGCACAGCCGATGCTGGTTTTATGCAGATTTATAATGGGATGTTTAACTGATCTATTATATATGCGTTGCAACCAAGCCTTATAAAATCTGTCAAAATTGCAAGCCTTGGCAACAAAACCAGCCAAAGATATGTAAGCGGCAATCCGAGAAGATACTCCCCAGGAATTAAATTTTGCAAACAAACATTTCAGCTAATTGCATTCTTGTTCTCAGTGCACTGAAGGCACCATTTAGCCAAAGCATTTGTCTACAGAGTTTAGTTTCTTCCATTTAATGAACGCTGATCCTGTCTTAGCCTCAACTGCTATATCATCAGGATCAACATGAAATGCTAATGGAGAAAGATGTCTAATACCATTTCAAGCGTTTAAGTTACAACCACAGCTATTAAAGTAAACCCATTTTGCCTTGTTCCTCCTTGGTCCCCCCAAGGAGGAGTTGGGGAGACCCGGCGTTTCCATGGGGAGAAGCGCTTCGTACACCGCTATGCAGATCACAGAAGAAAACTTTCAGCTGTTAATTACAGCCCGCGTTTTCCAAACCCAAGCCGGTCATCTCGCCGGCACAGCGCGTAATTAGCGAGGCTCGTTTTAGAGCGGTGCCTGCCTGAATCCGTTCACTTTTGGAAAGCAAGGAGGCTGCCTCCAGCAGCAGGTATAGCCATGCCGCCCAGAGAGCAACCTACTCGGGGTCCGCGGCAGAAATTGCAACGGGGTCTCCAATTTTTGGTCCCTTGCTCCATTGGCTGGCTGGAGCCTCTTCCTCGAGGCATCGTGAACGCTCTCAGGCACGACCTGCCTTTTTAAAATAGTGCCGTTCCTTTCTCTCCATTGATCCGAGTGTCTCTCACCTCTTTGAGGAGCAGCTTCTTTGTGGCAGAGGCTTCTGGTTTCTACCTACCTAAAGCCTACCACCGTCCCGGCTTTGACTCAAAACGCCGCTTGGGGCCGCGCGCTCGGAGCGTGGTTTCCCCCGTCGCACTGGCAGCTATCACCCCAAATGCTGAAGCTATCTCCGCGCAGATTTGCAAAGGCCGCTGTTTATGCGTGTCAGCTCTGCAGGGCATTAGCAGCCTAGCTGACACACGCCGACGGCGCGCGGCTCTGGGAAGGGAATAAGCAGCGCCGGCTGCCTGAATAATTGATGTGCTTTTACTCTGCCCCATGGCCCAGTTATTACATTGTTCGCTCTCCTCAACTGCCTGTGGTTTCTAAATTAATTAGAAATCTTAATGTCAGGGCCAACCGGTTATAAAAAGAAGAGAAGAGAAGGAAAAAAAAAAAAAAAAA